GGTTTCAAGTAAAATGCTGAAACGACACCTTATCACAGTTGGTGGGACCCTACATACCCAAATTCTTTTTTTGTTCACTTGAATCACGCCAAATTATGAGTGGTTTTGATATCTGGATTTTGTTCCTTTGGCTTTTTTTTATCTTAAAGTGTGAAAAAAACATTAAATATGGACTTCCTCAAGAAGACAGGTATTAATGTATGAATATGTATATACATAAAATATGCAATATTATTACATTATTACACTTAATTAATATACAATATGCATGTATATTAATATATATATACAGACACATAAGTGTGAGAGAGTATGTTTGTGTATGTCAAAAGAAAGAGATAATGCAGAGACAGAATAAAAATATTTATGTAGATATTTATGTAGATATTATGTAAAGCAATCTAGGTATATTTTTCAGGTGGTAGTTCCTAGATCTAATTTATTCTGAGTTAATAGAGTCTATCAATTGCCTCTGTAGACCTAAGAATGCCCTGAAACAGTATACAAGTGAGAGGTACATCTGTATCTTTCTGGAAGAGAACATCCAATGTTTACTTTGGTTCATAAAAGTGTCTGTGACTCATTATTTTGTGTATAAGGCTGTTAACAGTAGTTCTCAAATTTCTATTGGGCAAATTATAGTAAACAAGATTATATGAAGAGATGCATAATTCATCCACATTATCACATTAACCTATGCATTATTAGTCAAGTAGATAGCTGCATATTGAAATATAAAACTTTGTTTAAATTGCCTTAAATATTTGGTATTCTAATATTGTGTGTTCTTTTTTTTTAAAGATTTTATTTATTTATTGGAGAGAGAGAGAGATAGCGAAAGAGAGCAGGAGCATGGAGGAGAGGGAGAAGCAGGCTCCCCACTGAGCAGGGAGCCTGACATGGGACTAGATCCCAGGCCCCTGGGATCAGGACCTGAGCTGAAGGCAGATGCTTAACCGACTGAGCCACCCAGGCACCCCTAATATTGTGTGCTCTTATTTTAACTAAGACCACAGTACTAAACACTTATGAAATCAATTCCTATATTTACTGTAATGTATTCATATGATTTTCTAGAACATCACCTAAAGGACCTCCAGTTAGGCTCCATTCTTATGTCTTAGTAGATTGAATAAGGTTGATTCTGTCAAACATGTTTACCATACATACATAAAATAGATGTGAAGGAGTGACATTTATTGGTGATAAGTTCTAAACCAATGGGCAACTTTTGTTTGTATTTTGTTATATTTTTCTCAATGAATTGATATGTATGCATATTCTTATACTTCATGAAACAAAATTGTATTCATTTGCCATTTATAAGGTTAAACATTGATTTTTCACTTGATAGTATAATGTTTGTATTTTCAGACTATTTCTAGTGACCATCACTTTTAAAGTAGTATTATACACAAAATTAAGTCATATTTTTACTTAGTTACAAAGATATTGCATATCAATTGCAGAGAAGCAAATTAAAATATACTAAAGGGTGTTTCCATTTTGGAATAAAAGCAAAATCACTGGTAATCTCTTATTAAAAATGTATTTGGTGCACTTTATTTTTACATACTTTGTGTTGCAAGCCATTATTCCATCATATTGTTGTATTCTATTATTGTTATGATTGACTCATATTTCTATGAACATACCTAATTGTTTCTTTAGGATGGGGAATTGCTGAGTTAAATGCTCTGAACAATTTTAAAGCTTTGGTTAATTTTTTCTAGGGGTAAATTTTCTCCAGGGAGTAGCAACCATTTACACTTAGGGCTAGTTGTGTGAGAGTAACCATTTCGGTTTGCTTTTATTAATATTAGGACATATCATTTAAGATTGTTTGCTTCTTTGTTGTATCAACTGAGACTCTTAGGAAAGGAATATGTTTTATTTACTTTTTGATTAATTTATTTATTTGAGAAAGAGTGAGAGTGGGGTGGGGGGGCAGAGGGAGAGGGAATCTTTTTAAAAAATTTTTTTATTGTTATGTTAATCACCATACATTACATCATTAGTTTTTGATATAGTGTTCCATGATTCATTGTGCATAAAACCCAGTGCTCCACGCAGAACGTGCCCTCCTTAATACCCATCACCAGGCTAACCCATCCCCCCACCCCCCTCCCCTCTAGAACCCTCAGTTTGTTTTTCAGAGTCCATCATCTCTCATGGTTCGTCTCCCCCTCCGACTTACTCCCCTTCATTCTTCCCCTCCTGCTATCTTCTTCTTTTTTTTCTTAACATATATTGCATTATTTGTTTCAGAGATACAGATCTGTGATTCAACAGTCTTGCACAATTCACAGCGCTCACCATAGCACATACCCTCCCCAATGTCTATCACCCAGCCACCCCATCCCTCCCACCCCCCACCACTCCAGCAACCCTCAGTTTGTTTCCTGAGATTAAGAATTCCTCATATCAGTGAGGTCATATGATACATGTCTTTCTCTGACTGACTTATTTCACTTAGCATAACACCCTCCAGTTCCAACCGCATCGTTGCAAATGGCAAGATCTCATTCCTTTTGATGGCTGCATAATATTCCATTGTGTATATATACCACTTCTTCTTTATCCATTCATCTGTCGATGGACATCTTGGCTCTTTCCATCATTTAGCTATTGTGGACATTGCTGCTATAAACATTGGGATGCACGTACCCCTTCGGATCCCTACATTTGTATCTTTATGGTAAATACCCAGAAGCGCAATTGCTGGATCGAACGGTAGCTCTAATTTCAACTGTTTGAGGAACCTCCATACTGTTTTCCAGAGGGGTTGCACCAGCTTGCATTCCCACCAACAGTGTAGGAGGGTTCCCCTTTGGGAGAGAGGGAATCTTTTTTTTTTAATTTTTTATTGTTATGTTAATCACCATACATTACATCATTAGTTTTTGCTGTAAGGTTCCATGATTCATTGTTTGTGCATAAAACCCAGTGCTCCACGCAGAATGTGCCCTCTTTAATACCCATCACCAGGCTAACCCATCCCCCCACCCCCTCCCCTCTAGAACCCTCAGTCTGTTTTTCGGAGTCCATCGTCTCTCATGGTTCATCTCCCCCTCTGACTTCCTCCCCTTCATTCTTCCCCTCCTGCTATCTTCTTCTTCTTCTTTTTTCTTAACATGTGTTGCATTATTTGTTTCAGAAGTACAGATCTGTGATTCAACAGTCTTGCACAATTCACAGCACTCACCATAGCACATACCCTCCCTAATGTCTATCACCCAGCCACCCCATCCCTCCCACCTCCCACCACTCCAGCAGCCCTCAGTTTGTTTCCTGAGATTAAGAATTCCTCATATCAGTGAGGTCATATGATACATGTCTTTCTCTGATTGACTTATTTCACTCAGCATAACACCCTCCAGTTCCATCCACGTCGTTGCAAATGGCAAGATCTCATTCCTTTTGATGGTTGCATAACATTCCATTGTGTATATATACCACATCTTCTTTATCCATTCATCTGTCGATGGACATCTTGGCTCTTTCCATCATTTGGCTACTGTGGACATTGCTGCTATAAACATTGGGGTGCACGTACCCCTTCGGATCCCTACATTTGCATATTTGGGGTAAATACCCAGTAGTGCAATTGCTGGATCATAGGGTAGCTCTAATTTCAACTGTTTGAGGACCCTCCATACTGTTTTCCAGAGTGGTTGCAGCAGCTTGCATTCCCACCAACAGTGTAGGAGGGTGCCCCTTTCTGGGAGAGAGGGAATCTTAAAAGACTCCAAGCTGAGCATGGAACCCAGTGCAGGACTGAGTCTAATGATCATGACATGACTTGAAATGAAGAGTTAGACACTTAACTGACTGAGCCACCAGGCACCCCTAGAGCAGCTGTTATTTTAAAATAGTTTGTGGGTAGACAAGAACTGAAAGGTAATAGGTAGAATTATAGAGCAAATAATTGTCAATATTGTAGGAACAAAATCATAAAACCTTCATATGTAGGCAATGAAAATTTTATATACAGAATGGATATCTCCCACTCACATAGGTATCTGTTTTGATTAGGGGAAACTAATGAAACAAATCATTTGGGTAATTAAAGTGTAAAAAATTTGGTTATTTGTGAAAATAGTAAAACACAGATGGTTTTCAATTCAGGTTTAGTTGACATAACAATTCTTCAAAAGTGTGTTGAGAACAAACATCTGAAATTAGAACATTGAGCCTTTTTTGAGAAGATAATCAGGTTTCATTAAAGGAAACTATGTAATATATTATATGGATGTAAGTCATTTTCATATTCATACCATATTTCATACCTCACTTTGCTGGTAAGAATAGCTCAGTGATGGTCAATATTGTTGACTTATGAACTGAAAGAAAGAACTTCTCTGCCTACTAATCAAGTGGAAGTGAGTTCTTGAGTGAGACTGAACACAGGCTCTGCTTAACTGTAACAGAAGACTTCTGGTGATGTATTTCCCAACAGTCACTATTTCCTTACAATGGTCCCATTTATTTTTTCCATTAGGATTATCACTTGGTCCCAAGCTATGCATACATAAAAAATTTTACTGTTACTCCAGAGAATTGTATTCAGATACAACCAATATGGGTTGCTTTTCAATTGTTTTTGAGATTTTTTTTTTCATTGGGAGACTGTCAAAATAGACTTTTTCTCCATTGTACCAAGGTTTCTCATAAACACTGCTCTCAAAGCCTGTTTCGCATCTTTGTTCCTCAAGCTGTAGATAAATGGATTCAACATGGCATTCACAAAGATACAAACCACGGCCACAATTTTCCCTTGTTCAACAGACTGCTCGTTTGCTGGTCTCAGACACGTGCAGAATAGGGACCCATAGAACATGGTGACAGTGGTCAGGTGAGAGCCACCGGTGGAGAAGGCTTTGCACTGCCCTTCGCTGGAATGGATCCTCATAATGGTGATGAAAACAAATGAAAATATAGGAGATGAGGTTGATGAGTAGGGAACCAGTGAGGTTAATCCCTGCGGACACAAACAGGGCAGTCTCCTTTATGTAAGTGTCAGAACATGTCAACATGAGGAGGGGTGGGTCAGCACAGTAGAAATGGTTGATGATGTTGGGTCTGCAAAAGGACAAGTGAGAGGTCAATATTACCTGCATTGTGCCCACCATAGCACCCCAGAGGTAGGGAAAAGTGACAAGGCAGGTGCAAAGTGACCTGGACATTCTGCTGTTATAGTGCAGGGGATGGCAGATAGCCATGTACCTGTCATAGGCCATGGCACTGAGCATGTAATACTCAGTAAAGAACAGTCACAAAAACAAAACACTGGGCCAGACACCCCATGTAGGAAATGGTTTTCTTCTCAGAGAGGAAATTAACAAGCATCTGAGGAGAGAGATTAGTAGAATAAAAAATATCCACGCATGCTAAGTGGATGAGGAAAAAGTACATGGGTGTTTGCAGCCGGGGAGTGAGTCTGATTAATGCAATCAATCCAAAGTTCTCTGTCAGTGTGATGAAGTAAATCAGGAGAAACCACAAAAAGGATGGGCTGCGGCTCTTGTTGGCTGGTCAGTCCCAGGAGGATGAACTCAGTTGCCTCATTGCCATTGTGTGGGGCAAGCATGGCCATCTTCATATTCTCTAATATGGAACAATCTTTCAGATATAAAAACAGAAATAAATTATAGGCATTTCAAGAAGAGACAAAGTAAATGGGCACTAACCCAAACTGGTTTTGAAAAGAGAGGTTTAAATAGGTTGTTACTTCCCCCAGAGATGGAAAAGTTTCAGTAGTTGCCATCAGGTGGTTGGTGATGCTGATGAAGTGGACAATGTATTTGAAGTCCATGCACCAGCTGTGCTGTCTGCTTTGCTGCTCTCACCTTCCCTCGCCTAGAACATATGGAATTTAATTTAGTTCATTGATGTCCCTAATTAGGCTATAGGATCAGAATTTTTGACACTCAAACATGACTACTGCCATAGTCTGGTCATGACATAAATGCTTCATCAGGGAATGAGAAGAAGGTGTGACTCTCTGTAGACTGGTTGTATTGTTGTCTGCAAGGGCCAACCTTTTGTAATTGGAGTAGCATATACTCTTGAGAGCCTGTTGTGTATTTACTGATGTTCAGTTTCTTCCTAATTTCTTCCTTATCTTCCTATAGCAACATACCTCTCCCGGCTCTTTGGTGATCTGTCTCTCTTATCTCTTTTGTTCCAAACCTGTCGTTGATGGTCTCAGTTGTTTTTCACCTAATAATATCCCTTTCGATCTCATGGTCTCTTTTTATCTCACTGTATCCCAATTTATTTTATATTATATATGTCATATTCATATTTCATTTTATCTCATGCCCTTGACTTCACACCTGATATCTAAACTATCAGGAAGTCTTGTCTGCTCTACCTTCAAAAGATTACACATTGAATCTTAGAACAGCTTGTCAGCAGTTCCTCTGCTGCCACTTAGGTCTAAGATAAAAGTCTCCCTCCAGTCCTTTTTCTCATGCCACATTGTCCTTCTAGCATTTTTTGAACACGTTGAACACAATCCTACCTCAGGGCCATTGCATATACTGATCTCTGCCTTGAAAGTTCTTCTACTAGGCCTTTGAGTGACTTATTTCATCACTTCACTTAGATCTCTCAAGTTAAGCTCCATTCCAAATAGCTCTTTAATCATGGCTCATGATCTATTTTTACTCATTTATCACTTTTGAAATTATTTATTTACATAAATAGTTTTTATTCACATATTTTGTTGTCTATCCTCCATTAAAATGTTAACCACAGGAGGGCAAGAACTTTATGTGTGCCCTATCCCTAGAACCTGGGCCAGTGCCTGAATCAGTGCCTGAATCAGTGGATACACAATAACCCTTAGGTGAACAAATGGATGAATCAAAAAGGTAACTTTGCCAACTCACATCAGCTGATTTTTCATGATGTGTAGATGTCTTACCTCCCTGATGTACCAGTGGAGACTGAGTTACTACAAAAATTATAGCTGCCATGTAAACAATGTACAGGACGAAGCACAATTATGGGTTTGTTTTTATAACATGAACTAGTGATAATAGTACTGACCTAAAACCTTGAAAATTGTCAATGAAAATTTGCAAGTTGGACTGTTGGAAACAGATAGAAGTTGACTCAGGACTGAAAAAATGAGTTACCTTTAATTTTGTAAGGCCAGGAGGATATTAAAAGTTCATACTTTTAAAGAATAACTCCATTGCTTATTAAAATAATATATTCACAAATATAACTCTTGGATCAGTGGTTATCAACTCTAGCTTGACACTGGGTTCCAATGTGGAAGTTTTGATAACACCAAAACTTGGGTAACAGATCAACTCAAGTGGGGTACACACATTGGCATATTTTTGAACAAGTTTTCCACATGATTTTAATGCACAGTGTTGAAGCACTGAAAGAGACAGTTGATATGATCTGTTTAAAGTAAATAAAAGAGGTTTATCATAGAATTTTACCCATGGTTTTACTGAGAGTTTACACCTTCCCCTTACAGAGGATCCTGAGGTATTACCACAGAGTTTGCTTAAGTATAGCAAACTTGCCATCATCAATGCACACAAAATATTTCACAATTAGCATGAAGAAGGAAGTACCCCATCCTCTAACTTTAACCTTGATAGCACTCTGTTGGTTTTTGAAAGTTTGAAAAAAGAGGATCTTTCTGAGAGTCTCCATTACCCTGACTTAAGTTTTCTTGCATTCAGAAATATAAGGAAAAATAAGTAAATTTTCTTATTAATGATCACACCATTTTATTATTTACTACACAGTCCAGGGTTTTCTTTCTGGGATACGCATGGAGAAACACCTGTTGCAGAAGTAATTTGATATAGTTATATTTCAAATTATGAGCTGAAGTGAAAGAGTGGGAGAGAAGAACTCATGTGTTCTTATTCTTACTAAAGTATTCAGTGTTTTAAAAATGCCAGCGCAGATCATGTTGAAAAGCATCAAAAATTTTTTCAGTCACGCATCACACTCCATAGGCTGCCATGCCATGGGCCTCCACCAGCTGGATGCATTCCACGTTGTTAGGAGACCCTCCCTCCTCATCATTCAGTGCTTTTCTTTCCTTTTTTTTAGTTTTTTTTTTATTATGGTATGTTAATTACCATACCTTACATCATTAGTTGTTGATGAAGTGTTCCCTGATTCATTGTTTGCGTATAACACCCAGTGCTCCATTCAGTACATGTCCTCTTCAATACCCATCACCAGGCTAACCCATCCCCCCACCCCCTCCCCTCTGGAACCCTCAGTTTGGTTTTCAGAGACCATCATCTCTCATGGTTCCTCTCCCCCTCTAATTCCCCCCCTTCATTCTTCCCCTCCTGTTATTTTCTTCTTTTTTTTTTTAACATATAATGTATTATTTGTTTCAGAGGACAGATCTGTGATTCAACAGTATTGCACAATTCACAGCACTCACCATAGCACATATCTTCCCCAGTGTCTATCACCCAGCCACCCCATCCCTCCCGCACCCCACCACTCCAGCAACCCTCAGTTTGTTTCCTGAGATTAAGAATTCCTCATATCAGTGAGGTCATATGATATATGTCTTTCTCTGATTGACTTATTTTGCTTAGCATTACACCTTCCAGTTCCATCCATGTCGTTGCAAATGGCAAGATCTCATTCCTTTTGATGGCTGCATAATATTCCATTGTATATATATATATACCACTCCTTCTTTATCCATTCATCTGTTGATGGACATCTTGGCTCTTTCCACAGTTTGGTTATTGTGGACATTGCTGCTATAAACATTGGGGTACATGTACCCCTTCGGATCCCTACATTTGTATCTTTGGGGTAAATACCCAGTAGTGCAATTGCTGGAATGTATGGTAGCTCTATTTTCAACTGTTTGAGGAACCTCCATACTGTTTTTCAGAGTGGCTGCACCAGCTTGCATTCCCACCAACAGTGTAGGAGGGTTCCCCTTTCTCCACATCCCCGCCAGCATCTGTCGTTTCCTGACCTGTTAATTTTAGCCATTCAGACTGCTGTGAGGTGGTATCTCATTGAGGTTTTGATTTGGATTTCCCCGATGCCGAGCGATGTTGAGCACTTTTTCATGTGTCTGTTGGCCATTTGGATGTCTTCTTTGGAAAAATGTTTGTTCATGTCTTCTTCCCATTTCTTGATTGGATCATTTGTTCTTTGGGTATTGAGTTTGATAAGTTCCTTACAGATTTTGGATACTAGCCCTTTATCTGATAAGTCATTTGCAAATATCTTCTCCCATTCTATCGGTTGTCTTTTGGTTTTGTTGACTTTCTTTTGGTTTTGCTGTACAAAAGCTTTTTATCTTGTTGAAGTCCCAATAGTTCATTTTTGCCCTTGCTTCCCTTGCCTTTGGCGATGTTTCTACAAAGAATATCATCAAGACAGTATGATACTGGCACAAAAACAGACACATAGATCAATGGAACAGAATATAGAGCCCAGAAATGGACCTTCAACTCTATGGTCAACTAATCTTTGACAAAGCAGGAAAGAATGTCCAATGGAAAAAAGACAGTCTCTTCAACAAATGGTGTTGGGAAAATTGGACAGCCACATGCAGAAGAATGAAACTGGACCATTTCCTTACACCACACACAAAAATAGATTCAATGGTTGAAAGACCTAAATGTGAGACAAGAGTCCATCAAAATCCTAAAGGAGAACACAGGCAGCAACCTCTTTGACCTTGGCCACAGCAACTTCTTCCTAGAAACATTGCCAAAGGCAAGGGAAGCAAGGGCAAAAATGAACTATTGGGACTTCAACAAGATAAAAAGCTTTTGTACAGCAAAACCAAAAGAAAGTCAACAAAACCAAAAGACAACCGATAGAATGGGAGAAGATATTTGCAAATGACTTATCAGATAAAGGGCTAGTATCCAAAATCTGTAAGGAACTTATCAAACTCAATACCCAAAGAACAAATGATCCAATCAAGAAATGGGAAGAAGACATGAACAAACATTTTTCCAAAGAAGACATCCAAATGGCCAACAGACACATGAAAAAGTGCTCAACATCGCTCGGCATCGGGGAAATCCAAATCAAAACCTCAATGAGATACCACCTCACAGCAGTCTGAATGGCTAAAATTAACAGGTCAGGAAACGACAGATGCTGGCGGGGATGTGGAGAAAGGGGAACCCTCCTACACTGTTGGTGGGAATGCAAGCTGGTGCAACCCCTCTGAAAAACAGTATGGAGGTTCCTCAAAAAGTTGAAAATAGAGCTACCATACATTCCAGCAATTGCACTACTGGGTATTTACCCCAAAGATACAAATGTAGGGATTCAAAGGGGTACGTGTATCCCAATGTTTATAGCAGCAATGTCCACAATAGCCAAACTGTGGAAAGAGCCGATATGTCCATCAACAGATGAATGGATAAAGAAGCAGTGGTATATATACACAATGGAATATTATGTAGTCATCAAAAGGAATGAGATCTTGCCATTTGCAACGACATGGATGGAACTGGAGGGTGTTATGCTGATCAAAATAAGTCAATCAGAGAAAAACATATATCATATGACCTCAATGATATGAGGAATTCCTAATCTCAGGAAACAAACTGA